GACAAATATTATTTGCATCATACCAGTAAACTCACTCAAATTATTACCTTATATATCTATAATTACTTATAATTTAATATTTAAATATAAAAAAGAAAAATTAATTAGTCATTTTACTGTATAAACAGAAACTTGGTGCAAATCACAATTACTTGTTATTGTGAGTTTTAAGAATACCGTTATATACATATTGTATACATATTGTATATTAATATGTATATATGTATGTTAATATATGTATATTAATATAATTAATATATTAATACTGGTACAGTATTTTAGACTTAAAACAACTACATTAATAGACATTTTGATGAATAAATGTTGCACTACTCTATTTGCCTATAATTTAAAATTAATTATGCAATAAAATAAACTCGAAATTCTTTATAGTGTATCCATTATTAATAAATACATGAGAATTGCATATACTCATTGTATAATAACTAATTCANACAACTACATTAATAGACATTTTGATGAATAAATGTTGCACTACTCTATTTGCCTATAATTTAAAATTAATTATGCAATAAAATAAACTCGAAATTCTTTATAGTGTATCCATTATTAATAAATACATGAGAATTGCATATACTCATTGTATAATAACTAATTCATGATTAATATAATATTATATGTACATTGCTGGATATTCCAAGAAATATAATGAAATGAAAAGCACTGCAATACACAGACAATTAGTTATATCAAATAAAAGTCATTTAGAAAACCTGATTTCCAAATCGCGAGTGTTTGTCGTGAATCAAAATCCATCCCATTCTCCACCCGGGGATCAGAAATCTATTATTTATGATATAATCAAATAAATTAATTTTTTAATTCATTTCTTAGAATTTAGTTTTCTATGAGGTATGCAAAGTATTTATAAATTTAGCAAATGATTCAATTTAAGCGGAACTCACTTTTTGGTGGTACCACCGCATGACAGCACCGGGATCTCTGAAGTGAGTGACGCTATCGGATAGAAGTGGTTTCCCGGAAAAACAAGGTCTTCGTATATCTCATCGGCAATTATGGGCACAAAGTGTTTTTGAGCGACGGCTAAGAAATCTATGATATGTTGTCTACTAAATACAGATCCGCACGGATTGGACGGGTTGTTGTAGATGATGGCCGCAGTATTGCCATCGATCTTACTGTCCAAGTCATTCAAATCGATTTCCCAATTCTTGTGGGGCAAGAGCTCGTAGTGTCTTATCTGGACGTCAATGAGCGCCGACAGTGTCTCGTATAATGAGAACCCGGGTCTCGGAACCAGAATATTGGAGCCGGGATTCGTGAGCACTGTCATACACAGGTCCAGTGCATGTGAACAACCACTCGTCAAGATCACATCCTATGAAATGTTTTTATCAAATATAGTCATCAAAATACTGTAACTTATAACAAAATATTTTTACAGAATTTTTATTAAATTCAAAACACGTTTTGCGATTGATTTGCTTCAGGAAAACCATTGGTTGTCACCAACGAATGCTAAATGTTAATACATATCTTGTGTTTCATATTAGCTTAAGTTTTAAATCTTATTCAGAAAGTGTAACTCAAAATGTATTGCAAAAACCTTAAATTTCATCATTTATTTTACTATATTACACTTTAATCAATTTAATACGGTAGCCATAATCAAATTATGTAATTGTTTATCAAATATCATTTAACTGCGAACCTAATTATATGACTATTAATACTGAGATTTTCGTTAAATAATAAGCTTTAATGAAATTTTTGAGCAAAAAAATGAATAAATAAGTGGAAAAATTGGTGGTTTGCCCTTGGATTCAGTACAAGTGCGGCACTGCGACCTTCGAAGCTAAGGAATGGTGTGATTTTATGGACACCACTAACTTGTATGACATAACTCAGAGGAATGCCTAACCTTTGCCTCAACGGGCGCGCCGTCGACCGAGGAGTAGAGGGCCACCGCCTGTCGGGCCTCTTCAGAGCCGGCGGCCGCGAAGTAACCGTTGTTTTTGTAGGACTGAGTGCTCGCTATTATGGCATTAGTTATCTCTTCGCATGGCTTCAGGTTTCCAAAGATTGTCGGATCGCCTCAAGAGATAGAAAAATATATTTCATTTTAAATGACAGCTTTGATTGCATCAGAAATCATACCAATAGAGAGTGGAATTAATGGCTTCTCGGGGTTTGGCTCCAGTTTTAACGTCTCGACAACCATTCGGATCGGATTTACCGTCGATTTAGCCTTTTCTGAGACAATCACCGACCACTCGGTCCTCCTTTTCGTCTCTCTCTTTAATTCCATACTTTTGTCTCTAATATTACTTTTATTTCGATTTATTTGTTACATCTTTAATAGTAATAGGAATAGTAGTAATACACAAAATAAGCACAAAACTGATTGTATTTGCAAATTGTGTGGTAATTATTGGCTGACAATTTAACTCCCATTAGTAATTCAATTAATTATCAACAAATTAATATGAAAAATATACTTTCAATCGTTTGTACGATTAAATCAATTAACACCAGAAAACGTTTTCTTAATCAAATGCTTTTATTATATAAATTGCGAGTATAAACTGAATTAAACAAAAAACTTAATATAATTTAATATAAAAATTAATTGATTTTATAAACTCTGGCAAAAGGATAACTGACTTATGATTGCATTTGTGGCAAAATGTGTGATCTCTTATTGAAAGTCTCGCTTCGGGCTATTGTTAGCCAAAGATTTGTTAAATAAGTTTCTGATCTTATGGTTAACGAAAACCGGTCTTTCGAGAGATTCAATTCGATGAAACTGTTATCAACGGTTGGGACGTCATTATGACGAAGAGTTTTGGCTTCATATCTGATCACAAGGACATCAATGCGAGTCTCCAGTCCTCACAAGAATTCCTAATTCACTAAATCACTTGACATCGAAAATAACAAACAATTTCTGAATTAATTATATAATTATAAACAAAATTCATAAGTTTTACACAAATAAATAAGTTTACAAACAAATTTCAGTCAATCAAATCAAACTCTAGAGTCAAACAACTATTAAATCGATGTTAACTTTGAATTAAAAGTAAATAACTTTTAAAATCAAAAACTGAGATAATTTTTATGAGAAAATTATTTAACGTAAAAAACACATATTTTTGTCCAAAAAAAACTAGAAATTCCTATCTTTGGGCTCTTTATATGGAAAGTCAATGTATTCAAAGATCTCTTTCTCAGAGCTGATAGGAATCACTTCCCCGGGAACTCCTGTCAGACCCAGTCTTCTGAGGCAATACTCGTTTAAAGTGAATCCCATTTCGCTGGCGTGGCTTCTCATCTGTTGATTAAAAAAGTCGTTTCCAGTGAAGTATAAAATGCCACAAAAATACTGGTCGACCGGCAAGAATCGGATGTCGAGTCGCCGGTGCACACAATCCGGTGATAGTCGACAGACACCCATAAACTTCGTGTCACCCAATGATAGCCTATGGGTAATGAGTGCCCGCTTTTCCATACGTCGGA